ATACTGCTATTTGATAAATACAAGATTTCCATTTAGTTAAACTTCGTAATGATAGGGTTGATAAATCTACTTCTTTATGTGATTTAGTGACTAATATGAACGAATATGTTAAATATAAAGAGTATCTTGAAAAATTTGAATTTGCATGTAACAATTTACCAGCAGGACCCGCCTACTATTAAGATAGGTCACCCTGTGGCTTAAGGTAAGGTTTACATATAAAACTCTTTGAAGATCCTACTATAAAAGAAGGTCGTCTAAAGCAGGAGGCAAATCACGTGATTCAGTGTAATTTTAATTAGATTAATTTTTTATAAAGAAAGATTAATAGAAATTTTAAAATCATAATATAATCGTATTTTTATCTGCTTTGCAAGTTTACTTAAAGAAAAAATGTGGATTTTGAATATTGTTTTTGACCTTATATATGAATGAATGAAACTTTACCGATCATATCCAAAAATGAATAACGATATTGAAAAAGTCAAATAAATCAAAACCAGCATTCAAAACCCTATCCTGCGCTCTAAGTAAACTTGCAGAGCAGGCAAAAATGTATTTAAGATGTATGTTTAGAATGGTTGAATATATGATAAAAAGTTTTATTTTATGAAAACAATTTTTTTGAAGTCACGTGATTTGTCCCGCTTTAGATGACCTCTATAAAAGGAAATTTTATATTATATTATTATGATTTTTTTTCTTTTTAGTTAATTAACCAATAGAATTTAAGCAAATTATATGGTAAGGTTTCATATAAAAGTGAAATTTCTACTGGTAACATATCTTAGTAGTAAGTGGAGTCCTAATTTATCAACTGTTGGTTTACCAATGTTACATAATAGATTTTTTGGGTGGACAAACGATATTATCAAGCAATATTTATATTTTATTATGTTAGGAAAACAGAGAATGCAAATGGACCAATCTGTATGCTATGATTTGAATCGTATTGTGGATTGACTACAGTTATTAGAGGTAAAGTAATAATGAATGCTGTTTATTTTTTTTGTTTTAATATTGAAATCATATTGGTTTTTTAGACGAATATTAATAATTACGAAGAGATTTATATTAGACTTTGAGAATAAGAGCAAGATATTTGACAAGTTCTTTTTAAATCATTGATTAATGATGTAATTTAAGAAACAATATTAGAAGTGTGGCATGTTTGAACTACAGGAACATCAGGCATCAGTTATTATGTAGTATTATTAAATGATGGTATACATTTGTGTACATGTCTTTTATTAATGAATAAAGGCTTAATATGTCACTATTTATTTTGTATGGCAACTTATTCTCAATCAGCTACTTATTATATAACTCTTATATCATCTTACTGGTATCTTGAACCTAATGTTAATCAAAAAGTGCTTTTACAACAAATACCAGCCATTACATTATGTTTTATAACCAATTCAGAAAAAAATTTTCCTATTACTAATGGTACATTCAAGCATTTATTTTCAATTCAGTTTATATCAAACAATAATTTTAGTTCAACAATAACACCAAACAAAATTATATATGTGGAGTTGTTTGAATTATTAAAAAAAGTTATTAATTTAGCTATTAAAGCTGATATATACCAAGTATACTTGTATCTGAAATTATTTTAGTATTATGGAAATACGTAATTACGTAATTCTGTAATTATTAAGTAATTCATTAGAAAAACTCCGTATCCTATAATTAATTTTAAACTCCATAATTAATTTCGTATTACGAAAATATTTGGCCAGAATTAGCCTTAATTTTGGCCGATTTATATATAAAAACTTTAACAAATAATAACTCGGCACCCAATGATCCGTTTTGGATGATCTTACTACCATTTGATTCGTCTCGATAAGACGATTCTAATGGTAGTAAGACCATTTAAATCCAATTACTAGATCGCGCTCTGATACCAATAACTTTTAAATATTTATAGCATAATAGCTCTGCCAATTTCAATGCTAGAAAGATGATCTTACCGCCATTAGAATCATCTCATCATGATGAATCAAATGGTGGTAAATTCATTCAAATCTAATCACTAGATCATGCTCCGACACCAAAATTCAATAAATTTTTATAGTAATTTTACTCTATCCTATAGAAATAAAACACATATCATTAGATTCGTCTATAGTACCAAGATCTATCTAATATGTTAAAAATATTTTTTTGTGATATACAAAATAATTTTGCAAAAAGCAAATAGATTATATTCTTGATGCTAATAATTCTAACATTACTAATAAGTATAAAGAGCGTTCACCAAAAAGATTGCAATTAAATGTTAAACAATTCTCTTCTAAAGGAAAACATGTAGTATTCTTAACAAATCAGATCAGATCAGATTTTACTTAAATTCAATCTAATCTGAAATTAATTAAATCTAATTTGATTTAATTTGATCTGAATCAGATCGGTTTAAATTTAATCTAAATCAGATCAGATTTAATAAGATTCAAATCTGATCTGATCTGATTCGAAACTGATTAAATTTGATCTAATCTGAATCTAATTTGATCTGATTTGAATCTGATTTGAATCTAAATAAATGTTATAAATTCTAAAGCTATAATTTGTAAATATGTAATTCAGCCAGAATTATGCACTTAACTCTGGCAGGAATTATGGAATTTCTTAAAAAAGAAATTTAGGTCAATTTTTGTGGAATGGCTATCACCAAAAAAGAAATGATTGACATATCCGTTTTGGCTGGAGTTTAAAATTATGAATTAATTCCAGCTGGCATTATGAATTCAGCTAAAATTATTAATAAAATCAAATTTGAGATCTGAATCAAATCTATCAGATCCAATTTAATCAGATTTAGATTTTAAATAAGCCTAATCTGAATCTGATTTGATTTGATTTGATTTGATCTAAAGCTAATCTGATTTGCTCAAATCAAATTTTTTTTGATCTGAATCTAAACTGCAGATTAAATTTATCTGATCTGATCTGAATCTGACAGATTAGATTTTTTTCAGAGCACTAAAAATATGTATCAAGAAATAACATACAGCAAATCAATATCTACAACAATGAAAATAATAAAGGATGTAAGTGCAGAAAATGCAAATAATACAGACATTATACTAAAACTTGCCAAATCTTGATATAATCATCTTGGGCTAGAATTTCATCAAGATTCGTAATTCATTGAAATTTTGAGTTTAAGTTATTAAAATTTGATAATGTTTGCTAATTTCATTATTTTTCATTAAGATTGTTAGAGTTATTAGATTATTATAATATTAGCATTAGGAACGTTAGGACTTAGTAGAAGCATTAGGAGCATTAGGAGTGTTAGGGGTATTAGAAATTAGGATTATTAATTGTTAGGAAGGAGCATTAGTGAAAATCACTAAAATTGTTAGCTGTTAAGTTATTAGGATTATTAAAATGATATTAGGATTGTTGGTTATAAAAAATGTTAGTTAGAATTGGTAAGTTGTTAAGTTGGTTTTTGGGTTATTACAAGCTTTAGAATTTGTAGAGAACAAACTTATATGTCACATGTAGTACAATTGATTTTATTAATGTGTTGTTAGTAGAACTTTATTAAAAATAAATTCATTAGTTTAAACATGAACTTTTGTTATCATATGACTTTTATTATAATCACGTGGCCTAACTGTGTTTATATATTTGCTTTTTTTCGCATTAAATGATCAGCATAAAAATTTGCTTTTTTGGAAATAGTGTTCAAACACATGGTATACAAATAAAAATCGTCTATACTATAATATAGCAAAATTTTTTAAGTTATATTAGATTTTTTCCATTACAGTTATCCTCCTATATAATCACACCCTTTGAGACCATAAAAAAATGGTGTGACTATAAAAATTATATATGATGTGATTAAAGAGAAGGTTTTTTTAATAAGTTTATTAGTAACTTAGGATTAATGTAAATGTCCTTATAAGGGAGTTGTGATTATACAGGGTGGGAGGATGACTGTATATTTATAAATATTTCTATAATAAAAATCTAATCAGTTTTTATTATATTAAAAATTAACCAAATATATTTTTTTAGTAATATAATAAAATTTATATAAAATTTTTAATTGCATTTTTTAATATATAATTTTTAGCGATCACCTGGTGTATTTCCTGAAGGTTCTAATATATATTAGTATCTTTACATAAAAATAATATCTATTGTAATTTTAAGGAGTGCATGTTAATCAATCTTTGTGATGGCGTAGTTTTCTTTAAAAATGCATTTTAAATTCAGTTCTTGGTCTCACTACAAATCCTATAAAATAGAGTGAGGTACTGGTTAGTAGTTCTTTTTTATCTGCCTTATACTGTACAAATAAAGCAAAAATCAAGCAAAATTAATAAAATATAAATCTTACCGCTTTATTAAATCATCATCAAAATATCATGAAATCATTGGAAATAACTCACAAATAAAAATTAATTTATCTTTATAAGCATCTTAATGTTTGGCGCAATATCATTTTGGTGATAAAAAAATAAGCGTCAAATTTCTTAAAAATCAAGGATACTTTTTCAGGCCATTTTTATGCTCAATGAGTAGATTTTGCTAATCATTACATTTTTCATTATTAATCTATGCAACAATAGATTTTATATAAATAGTTGCTAATTGATTTTTCGCCTGTAGTACATATAAGTGTCATACAGCATACTTTTTCTACAGTTTCTTTTATACCAAATTCGTCATGCATATTTCCATTGATCCTATGACTAAAAACTTTAAAAATGAGATTAATAAAGACAAGAATCCTTTAATAGTCATTTATCTCTTAATTGTTTTCTTGTTTATTCTATTACTTCCTTCTGTATTCTTTGTTTTTCTTTTTATAAATTGCTCAATTATTATGTTCACTTCCATTTGGCTCCCTTTTGCAGTCCTCTCGTTTGCTGGGTATAAATCTTTTCCAAATAAATATGTAAACACGTACTGTCAAAAGCATTTATACTATCAATTAACATCTCTTTAGATTTTTTATTTTATCTCGAATAATGGTATCTCTTCAGCCAGTTCAAAATCTACCTGAAACGTCTCAAACTCTCTTAAAGTATGAGAAAAAACCTGGTCAAGTGAAAACGTTTCTTGGTAATAAGGCTTTTATATTTTGAATAGCATTGTGGCAATGTGGCAATACATATAGTGTTTTGATGTTTATTTTCTTGATCTATTTATAGCTCATACGGACAATAACTTCATCTGGCCCTCTTCAATGCCAGAACATATGAGAAGACATTGTTTCTTCAAGATCACTGATTACCAGTCTAATATTGATGATGTTCAAATTGGGTGCAACACCATATTTTTTTACAACGTACTTGATAAAGGGGGATTTTTAGGACACGAAAATGATTGGGTGACGGTATACAACCAGAAAATAATAGAATATGGGGAAAAGTATAGTGATTATGAATTTATGCAAATTTTCGAAAAGATGCCTGGTGTCGTACAACTTCCGGTTAATCAGGAAAATCTCCCACGTAGTGAAAGAAGAAGAATGGTAACTACTAATAAGCGAATTAATAATAATGGGAATGACTATAAAGTTTGAATATGTACTTGATTGTAAATTAAAGAATTAGTTTTTAAAACTTTTATAAGTCTTAGTACATAAGAATTTATATGTTCTCAAAGTAGTTTAATTTTTTTCAAATAAAGGTCAAAGCTTGTGTCAAAAGACCTGGAGAACCTGGACTGTTTGCTCAAATTGATTATGACTTTTATGATATTGATAACAACAATAAAAGATATCAATGTGTAATAGATACTGGTGCGCCTTCAATGATCTTTCCATATCATGTTAAAAGAACATTTAGGAACATAAAAAATGAATGGATGAAGATGCTATAGCAAGCTCAGGTTATGGGGAAGGCGCATTGAAATACCATTCATATAAAATGTTTGAAATCTGGATTGGCGATGATCATAATTGGTCAAAATGGGTTCAGACGAAGATTGCAGTTTGGGAAGCAGATTCTGGCGATCAAGTAGAAGATATACTGATCGGCAACAATATTACCGATCAACTTGCATATGTTTATAAGCCTAAAAGTCCATTAAAATTTTTGGATGGTACAGATGAAGTTAGTCTCACCCAGTTTATAAATGAATATAGTTAAATGAAAATTATTGTTGTTTGTTAATTTATCAATGATAGCTAATATACATTCTTACATGCTTTGATAAATGATTATATTAGAAGCGTCAATTCAGCTTAACTTTGAGAACTAAAGCTTCTGAACAATTGAACTTTATAATTTACTAGTAATCAAAGAAATATGTACAATATTTTTGAAACAGATATTACTTATCATTTTTATTCCAAACTGCTAATCTTTTAATAATAAAATATTTGAGTGATGTGTACTTTTAAATTCAAATGGTATTTTTTTAAATCATGCAATGATAGTGTAATCGTAAAATTGTATTTAGCTTTTTATAAATTTAATATACTTTATTCTTTTTAAACCTAAATGTTATGAAAAATTCTTATATACCATAGTTTGAAGAGTTGTTAAAAGCTTCAAATGAGAATAATGAGATATGAGATGGATTTTATCATGGACCCAGTTGTGTGAGATTGATCATCTGAAAATGCTGGTAAAATTCTTGCTGACTGTGTAACATGTAAGGTGCATATATATATCTCATTATTTTTTTCTGCTTGTATAAAAGGTGTTATGAAATCTGAACTTGCCTTACTTAAAGAAAAAAATGCCAGATTTATGGCAAAAATAACTGGGTTCAAGTTTGATAAAACCGAGCTTATAAAAAGAGTCATAAAATTGGAAGAGAAGCAGTTGAAAAACGTAGTAATAAAAAACTTATTACATGCGTCATGCGTAAACACCTTTGGCTAAGTATCGCGAAAAACATAATCATATTAATAAAACAATAATCGGGTATAGATATTTTTTCTGATAATCCTTATTTCGCATATGGGGTTTGGAAGTATATATGCTAATCTTTCGTTGATTTGCAGAGGAATTATCATCATAACAAAATGCAGTGCGTAATTGCTGGTGAAAATCCAGGTATTGTTTTCTCCTGGATATATCTATACTATAAAAAATAGGTCAGTATATTTTTTTACTCAAAACTGTTCAGCTATAAACATAAGGCAGTATGCATATAAATCATATCGAAACTTTTGCAATTAATATTCTCAAAAGGATAAACATTCTTCCTGATAATACTATTTTTCCAAAAGTAGATTCATGTTCATTATGTGAAAAAAATTTTTATTTACCCTAGGAATTCCTACCATTTAAAGAATTTACTTTGGCTTCGTGTGGACACATCTATCATCAGTAGTGTCTTGAAAAGCATTTAGTGAATGGAAAGGCGATTTGTCTGAATAAGAAATATAACAAAATTATTAAAACTTTTTTTTCTCCAGAACTCCTTAAGGGATCGCAAGACAAATCTTCAACTGCTAATGAGAATATCACTACCAAGCCTGTAGATTTAGGAAATCAGACTCCCGTGAATGATGATGTAGCACTCATGAAACAACTTGAATTATTTAGCGGAGAGGAGTAAAGTTCGTTATAGACGACTGAGATCACTAAAGAAACTTCTGACCAGAAAACCAGCCCAATTGAGGTTATTAGTACTACACCTGGCAATTTTGGAAATGTAGATAACTCGATTTTAAAGGATACTAGCAGTCAAATTTAATGTCCTATATGTGAACAATGCTCTGAAGAAATCTTTCTAAAATTTATGAAATTAACCATTTTTTTACCCTGTAAACATGTTGTGCATTACAATTGCATTAAGGATTTTCTCAAGATGTGTTCTACCTGCCCTTTATCTGAAACGATATCAGAGATATCAACTCTATTAGAATCAGATCTGAGTGATTCACAGAAAAAACGTACTAGGGAATCATCTACCAAAAAATTCTCTAACAAGAAAGTAAAAAAGACTGGTGAAAAGAAAGTATCGAGCATGCTAAAAAAACTTATCAAAAAATTATTAACTGATGTGATATCAGATGTAGTTGAAGAGAACTTGAAAGAAGAAGCAAGTGAAAACAAAACTAGCAATTTTTTGCAACTATACTATAAGATTGATAGCGCTGAATCTAAAAATGAAGATACATCTCAAGGTCTTATTTACAGCTATTTTGATTTTGGGAAAGCTGTATTTAAACGGCTGATATAAGGAATTAAAACTCAATCATAGCATTAGTTAAAAGTGAGATTAAAAAAGCAATTCCTGAAGCAAAATATTCTGATGAAACTTTGCGAAAAAGGATGGAGAGATCTGAAAAGGTTTATAAGCTTTTTAATAGTATAGGCAAAGAAAAAATAGCACAGATAAAATCTACCTCTCCAGGTTTCATCTTAAATTTAACTAAGAATAAAAAAGATTATGTAATATCTGAAGTCTTAAAACAGAAACTTCGATAGTTTACTGTGCCATTTCTTTTGACGAGCTCAGACATCGTATCCAGACTCTGCCATCAGAAAAATAGTATTTTTTTATATGTGCATTTTTAAACATATATTAATAAAGTATTTCCCATATCGGATTTTATTTTAAAGTGCGTTTTAGTGTACTACCAAATATAATATAATGTACTTTTCTGAATTTGCTACTTCCAATAAGATTTCGAATAAAAAAACATGGCTAATCTGCTGACTACTACACTATGTGATTAATTCTTTTTTCTGCGCAATTAAGTTGAGTCCAGACATCGTGTTCATACTTTACCATCAAAAAAAAAATATAATTTTCTTAAATCAAAGGCTATCTGGCTAAAGAAAAAATCTGAAATCTAATTGGCTGATCATCTCATGATTTATAGAAACTCGCCAGTACCTGAAACTTTCCTAGAACTATTAAAAAACTGACAGGAAACTTATGTAATATAAATTTTAGTCAAATCAAAAAATTATGAATCTGTCTTCTGATTAGCCAATCATCTCGTAATTCAAGTTGTGAAAAGATTGTGAGGAAGTACCAGAAACTGCCTGAGAGCTAGGGTGGTACTTGTAGTACTTGTAATATGATATACGTCATAATACTTATTAATCACAAGAGATCTGCAATCAAATAAAAAATGAATTTGGGTTTAACAGTATGTAGTCTCACTAAATCGGCTACAAATCAATAAAATTGCTATAAATTTGAATCATGATATTATTTAGTATAGGTTGATAAAGAATCGATATAACACACTAAAATTATTATAATCCACTAAAATACTATCAGTTATAAAAGTAGTGCAGGTGCTAAACAATTTATAATATAGGTATAGTAATGAAACACCAGAAATGTGGTGTTCTCATATTCATTATTCATTTAATTAAGAAACTTCTTGAATATAACCCAAAATACCTTTCGATGAATGGGTTTATTTAGATGATTGAAAGAGTATATATAGATGGAGGATTCAAAGCTGAAAGGCGTTTATTTTATATTTATTGTACTGCATATGGCTCCTTAGTAATCATTTGTAAAAATACCATCAACTGTAGCAATGATTATCTGAAAAAATGTATTACTAAAACCGCTAAAATGCATTTTAATTCTGTACAAAAGAATATAAAAAAAGGAAAAAGTATATCATTACTCAGTTCTGATGAAATTGATGAGATTTATCTAACATATTCCGTCAGTTATGTACAGTAAAGGTTTAGCTCATTATAATTATGATTATTCACATAAAGGTTGGAAAAAGATTGTAAATCGTTTAATCGATAATGTAAAAAGTTGTCCAACGGGCTTGGAGGACTTTCAAGTTAAGGCCTGAAATATGGGCGAAATGAGTTTGGAATATGATGAGAAATGATGGTACTCCTGACAAGAAGAAGTTTCTAGGTATAACTCCTTGTAAAATAAGAGTTCCTGATGATTGATATATAAACTATATATAGGATCCCAGTTATCTTTTGATGGAAATTAATTATGGAGATAGAATTCAAGCTAAAGATATGCCTGTACATTATCAGAATCTTTCTATATTATATGATCATTATTCTTCATAAAGCTGGATAGAAAAAAAAAGAGAATAGCTAAGTAATTAATTATGTCTTGTATCTTATATAGTTGCTTTTATAAAATTACATTGGCAAGGCTATAGAATCGTTAAATATTTAGGATGGACTGATATGTTAAAGTGGCTATCAAAACCTGAATATTATCATATTAATAAATACCTCAACAATGGTAATGTAAACTTTATTAGAAGTTCAGAATATATGCTAAAAAATGATTATTTTAAATCTGGATATTTTACTATTGAGGGAAAGTTTAGTATCATGGATTTCTCAGATCTGAATAATAATAATAATGAGTATGTATGCTGAATTTTCTGGAGCATAGATTTTTTATTAAAATAGTGTAATATATTTTATGTATAATTATTAGCTAAGTCTTTATGGCGCTTTGCAAAATAATACAATATAATATTTTTTTTGCACTATCCCTACTAAAATTCAGTATGTAATTTGTATGCATAACTGTCTAGTAAAATTGTGAAATGCTTCATACACATGGCCAAGGTGCCATGCATAATCTGCTTATTCTGGGTTAGATCTTTTAATATACTGTATACCTATTTTAGTGAAGTATTTCAGGAAGAATAATGAAGTAATCTTGGGAATTCTTGATTGTGAGATAAAGATGCTGCCCGAAACTTGGTAAAACTATTTCTGAAATTTTCTTATTTTTCAAAACTGGTAAAACTGGTAAAACTAATCTGAAACTGGTAAAACTAACCCGAAACTGGTATAACTAACCTGAAACTAGTAAAACTAATCTGAAACTGGTAAAATTAATCCAAAATTTATAATGCCAAAATTATTACTGAAAGTTCAAAATTTGGCCGAAATTATTGATATAATCCTGGCCATTTTTAGGACGTAATTCTGGCCAAGAAAATGATCGACATTAAAATTTCCTTATTTGGAATTTTGTGTAACCATTGTGTAACTAATTTTTCCAATTTTACTGGGAAACATAATTTCCTTTTTAGGAAATTAGTGTAACGTCACGTGATAAAAATGTCATAATTTCGGCCAAATTTTAATTTTGGCCAAAATTAGTGAGTTTCGGGCTAGTTTCGGGAGTTTCGGGCTAATTTCAGGAGTTTCGGCTAGTTTCGGGAGTTTCGGAATAGTTTCGGGTTTAGTTTCGGTTTCGGTTTCGGTTTCGGAAACTGAAAAATAGTTTCGGGCAGCATCTTATTGTGAGACAATATAACTATCAGTTTGAGAATTTCTATGCAGTAGTTATCTAGCGAGCTTATAGGAATTACAAAAAAAGACCTGAGTCTTTAGCAAAACAGGTTTGAGAGGTGGTGAGAAATGATGATACTTCTGACAATAAGAAATTTTTAGATATTATTCCTTATAGTAAAACATATCAATAGAATCTAATTATATGAGTGATCGATTTTATATAAAAAATAAACATAACATTTATTTTGCTACTACTTGGACAGATGCGAAGAGAAATCAGTTATATGGATGATTAGGTACTGTAGCATACATAGCTATTTCTAGAGTATTATATCAGTAAGGTTATATAATTGTTGGAAGTACAGGCTGGTCTGACTAAAGATGTAGTATGTAATTAATAATTACTACCTTATGTTGTAATAGTAAGGGTTGCAATCTATTACTACTTTTAAAGTTAAAGTGTTGTAATATTACAACACTTATGATTATTCAAAAATTTTCTTTTTGAAAAATAAAAATTACAAAAATAAGTTTTTATAGAATAAATATCATCATAAAAAGAAATAATTAATATATTATAATACATATTTGTATAATTAAAAATAATTACAACACTATATAATAATTACAATACTAATAGTATTATAATACTATATAATAATTATAAT